TAATTTTGAAAGAGATGTACCCTAGCTCAGAAAAATGTTATTGAATAGGTTAATGCTGTTGTAATGAAATGCTTCTTCTAATAAACAAAAAAAATAAAATAAAAAAAGTTATCTTCCGACTTCTACACATGCACTGTAACATGTCCTGCCCTCCCCCATCACACACACACACACACACACACACACACACACACACACACACATGCACAGACACACACTAATGACAAAGAAATTAATGTTAACAGCAATAAAAACATTCACAGATTTTGTTAATGTATAATTATTCTATAGCAATATGAAGCTGTTTAGATGCATTTTGGAGTTATGTAACACACAGTTTTTAAGTGGTGACATTTGAATGGGCTTGTTCCTTTCTCATCTCATTGCAAACTCCCTTGACCCTTCAACACACATTTATTCTCCTCCTGCCTTGCAAAGAGCCACAGAGCTCATTGAGGTCACAGAAAGAGGAAAGAGTAAAATGATCTTGGAAATCAAATATCCATCTGAGAGCCCTTGTCCAGTGAGCCCATGGTAATTCTCATGAGTTGGGTTCTAAAAACTCATTTGAAATGTAAAAGCCTGGCCTGATTTTTTTCAAACTAGGAATAATTGACAGCAATTATCTGGAGCAAACAAGATAATTTTAAAAAGGAAACCATTATGCACTCTGTTGTACAGTCAAGATACTGAACTCCAGCTTTGTTCTGTGTGCTGGGCATATAGTGGTGGCAAAAGGGACTCCTGTAATCCCAGCACTGAGAAATGGAGGAAGGAGGGACTGGTCTCTGGGATGGGACTTCTTTACCAGAGATGTTTCAGGGTGTCAGTTTTGGCATTGGTACAGAGCAGAGCAACTCCTGCAGAAATGTGCTCGTGATGAATCACATCAATGGAATTTTCAAAAAAATTAACCTTGAAAAAATTCTGCCAAGACAAAAACCCAACATAGAACTGGGGAAATGGACAGCTGACTCCAGTCTTAGCTGAAGAAATATTGGCAACTGATTAGTGCTGGTGAGGAAGAGCTGATCTTCCTAAAGTGAGAGACTCTAGATAAGCTGACTAGACCTCTGTAGATGAACTTGCACTGAGGAACATCTGGGGACACTAACTTGACACAATAGGCCTTAACACAAATGGCAGAATTCCAGTGTGTGTGTGTGGGGGGGCTATGGGAGGGTGCTAGTGGGGAAGGGGGTATAAAGATGATTAAGATTGAGATGTTATGTATGAAATATACAAAAATTCAATAAAATTTTTTAAAAATCTGCCAAAGACATTCAAATGCTTAAAACTATGCCAGTTCCCAAGGTTAGCGTGGTAGTTAGCCTTGAGTTTGGTTTAATATCACTAACTACAGCTCCTTCCCTGGTGTTCTTGTTTGTTGTTATTTCCAATGCAATTGTAAGTGAAAGCCAACTTATAGTGGAATCTGACTGTGAAATGAAAAGTGAAAACCCTTAGGCTTATTTCAGATTGTTACTGTAAGCAAAGATTAGTATATTAAATACCTTGCTGTTTAAATCAATGTTATAGCACACCTCTTCTTAAATAATAGACCTTTATGCAAAAAATGTGTGCTAACTTTTATTTTCTAGAAAGTAGGAGTTTTAATATTGGTGCTTAAAGTAAGGAGACTTAGTAGTATATGGAATGTTGGTAAACAGCTCACATTTTATCAAAAGATCTGATTATAAACACTAGTACTGTTTCTAAAGCAGCATGAGCTCTCTTCTCTTTTAATTCTATGTTTTTCTGTTCCCTCTTCACCAAATCATAAATATTTTTAGTGAAAAGAATGTGTCATATTTCTGTGTTGCCATCTGATTTTACTAAATATGTATGGTGATAATGAATATAGAAGATCTCTTTATTACTTCAGAATCATACTTAAATATGGTTGAATATGTTTGTTCACTCTGTTACTATATGCAATAAGATCTAAAAAGTCAACAGTAATCTGTATCCTTGAGAAATCCATAATCTCATTAGCAAGATAAAAAATTGCAAGGCTGGGGATAGAGAGATGGCTCAACAGTTAAGAGCACTGGCTGCTCTTGCAGAGGACCCAGGTTCAGTTCCCAGCACCTACATGGCAGCTAACAACCATCCATAACTTTAGGTTCAAAGGATTTGACACCCTCTTCTGATGTCCACCAGCATTGCACAGCATGGGTGCACTTGCATACATACAGGCAATACACTCCTACACATAAAAAAATATTTTTTTAAAAAATACAAGGCTGGGCATGATGATACACGCTTATATTTACTAGCACTTGGAAGGCAGAGGCAGGAGGATTACAGCAAAGCCTGGTCCACCTAGTGAGTTCCAGGCCAGCCAGGACTAGAATACTCTGTCTCAAACAAACAAGCAAACAAAATATGCAATCATGAAATGTTGGTAATAACTGTCACATTATGAGCTAGGGAGTAGCTCAGTTGATAGAGTGCTTGCCTAGCATGATCAAAGCCTTTTATTTCATCCCCAGTACCTCCTATATCAGGCATGATAGGCATGGTAGCTCACGCCTGTAATCCCAGCACTGAGAAAAGGAGGAAGGAGGATCAGGTGTAAGCCCAGGCTAGGATGTATGAAACCCTGTCTCTAAACACATACATACATACATACATACATACATACATACATACATAGTAAAATTAAAAATCTCAACATTGTTATTTGTCAAATAAAATTTCTACATTAAATTGGAGTGTCTATAAAATATTTTGGCTTATTTGTAAAATTTGTTTTTATCTTGCCACAAAATAAGTATCAGTTTTTTTTAAATGTCTGTCTTTTTTTCTGTGCTCCCTCCCCCATTATTGTTTATATGTTTAGCAACTTTTCGTAAGAATATTATAGTTATTTTGATCTTTTGACATCTTTTTAACATTAATTTTCTGATCATGTATCTTACGTAGGAAAGAGATTCTGTCCACAGACAGCATGAGATAGCCCGGCAAGCACTTATGGGAAAGACACCCCAGGATCACACGCTCTTGTTTCAAAGGTAGCACTCTATTATGTTGATTGATACCTGAGCAACCTTAGATTGATGTGTTAGTGTCTGAATATACCAAATGAACCCTCATCAGCGTAAATAGAAATATTTGCACTAAGAGGGACACAATGTTTCAGTATTAAATTCAGTTCTAGAAGCTGCATATTCTTTACTCATATATTGCTTTAAAAGGCACAATATGCCTACAGCTACTAGAAACGTGATTTTTTCAACACCGCAAAAATGACATTTCTACGGTGTTTGAATATAAGGATCCACCTTCACCAAGTCTGTTCATGACTAAAGGTTAATTACATACTGTTGAGTTCCCTGTACTTGTCTGTCATCATTGTCCAAACAATGGCAAATATTTGTGGGGTCATTTGTTCAATGTCTCCTTTCCCTGCTAGGCTATAAATTTCAAAAGTATGACCACCGTATCTCTATTAATCCATAGATTTGGGGTATGAAATGTTTTGAAAAGTCCTTGGTATAAAATGCTTTACTTAGTGCCTGCCACATAGTGAGGGCTTCATAGATATCAGTGACCATATCAGCTATTATTCTATTAATTGTTACAATTAAAGAGAGAGTTAGCCTTTGGGTTTTACTCAAGATGACTAACCAGATCATGGGATGGTTATATAATATTTTCATGTTATTTTCTCATTAATGTCATGGGTTTCAGTATTCTGAATTATTCTTTGTGACCTTTTAGAACATTTGAGTAATGATTATGTCTTAGCCTTTTGGCTAAGATCAAGTACAGAGTATTGGAGTGATGAGATGGAAAAAGGCCCACTTTTTAGAAAATTGCTCAGAGCAATGACCAAATCTCAAATATAGCATTTAAAATGCTCTTTAGTAAAAAATGCAAAGACTCAAAGAAGCTGATTTTTAAAAGCCATTTAAATTATTTTCAATGGCAGTTCTTTCGTTTGTGATTACTTATTGAGAATCTGTAGTCAGTATAAATAAAATGAGACTGTTGTCCGTTTGTCTGCTACAGCATCAAAGAAAGTATGATTAATTTTCTCCATACCAGTAGGTTATCTTTGGGTGGTTCAATTCAAAATATAGGCTGTTTGGTACATGCAAAGTTCTACTGGGGGCTAGGGACTGGTGGGCTAGAAGATAGTGTCCCCAAGAGCATCTGAAGCCAAGGCTCACATGAGCAGCAGATGTCATGCCTATTCGAAAACCACGTGCAGAGAACCTGAGTATTTTTAAATAGGATCTCCAAATGGATTGTCACACGCAGATGGATGCTGTGAACTTGTCTGCACATAAGCAACTAATATATGCAAATTTGTTGCTGTGCGCATAACATCTCTAGCAAGTCTGAGGTGGATTGGGCAGCGTTTATTCATGGTTAATGATTCTTTTTCTTGCAAGGCATTCTGAAGGAGCAGGCATATATATCCTGCATATATGAATACATGAGAAATATTTTATACTACAGTTTAATTCAGAGTATAATATTAGAGTTCTTAGAAATATTTCACTTGGGTAACATTTCAAAGCATTAGATTAGAAATGAAATAGGAATATATCTATTTTGATTTTTCCAGCACTTGGTAGATATAAATGGACTAGGGTTACAAATAGACTATATGCAAGGAACAAGGCAAATAATTTGCTTATATTAATCATTTAATGGACAAGAAATAGTCATAATAATACAAATGTGCTTAATCTTCAAGTCAGAGTGTAATGATGCCAGCATCTAAGGCAAGTTCTGAAGCAAATGTTTGTAAGTGAATACCTTGCTTTATTCCATGTATATTCTATTGGTCATTTGTATTTCTGTGGGCTACAATGGTCAGTACTTAGGTTTTACATGTGTGTATGCTTGATATGACTATGAAATTCTTTGTATTTAAAAAACAACCCTACTTTCAGGGGTCCAGTACCAATACCTATGATCAGTGGTCTACAGTATTTTACAGCATTAGAAGACCTACAGAAAGGTTTTGAGCTTTGTGAAGATTATTTAAAAACTCCCTTTGGACCACATCCTGAAATCAGGTGTGTTGAGGGGTTCTATTGGGTTGAGTTGGTTATTTTCTGCAGGTTTGTTAAAATCATGGTATTCATCTGTAAGCTTCAGAGAAATCCTAAAACTAAGAAGCAGATATACCTCTCACTATGAGATCTGTGGGGAGTAGATGCCTCCAGAGAGCACACTCACAACTAATCTAAGTTTTAGTGGAGTCTTCTGTCCAGGACTTTGAATCTTGAGGGAGGGGATGTAATGAGGCAGAGCAGTTGGAGATATTCAGTTCAACAGCAGAAGGAACAAGGATTCAGACAGCAGTGTGGGAGTCCATTGTGGGAGAGCAAACAACAACATTCTACCAACCCCTTCCTGGCTGTGACTCAGCTGTGTTCTTGACGCCTAACTTACATTGGCTCAGTAATTAAGCCTAGTTCTCTAGGATTCCATTAATTTTATGTCATTCAATAGCTTTCCAATAACTCCATCTTTAATATCCAAATTACCTTGAGTAGGATCTGTAATTTGCAGCCAACATCTGATTAGTGCAATGTTCCATTTCAAAATGTTTATCAACCGATAACTAATATTACAAGGCCATTTCAAGGTCCTAATGTTCTGTATGTTGAAAGGTAGCGCAAAAGTTTCATATAGTAGGTTGCTTAAACTACTATTTAGGAGGGGTTAGGGAGATGGCTTAGTAAAGTGCTTGAATAAAGTACTTGCCATGTACGCCTGAGAACCTGAGTTCAGATCCCCAGCACCCAAATCTGGGCACGACAATGCACATTTACAGTCACAGTGCTGGACAAACAGACAGGAGGATCCCTAGAGTCTCTAGGGCTCTCTGGCCACCAGTCTAGCTGAATTTGTGAGCTCCAGGTTCAGTGAGAGACCCTGTCTCAAAAACTAAAGTGGAGAGAAATATAGGAAGACATCCAGTGTCAATCTCTGATTCCACATGCATGTGTGTGAACCACATACATACATGTGCAAACACATAGAAACACACAAACTTAAAATTTTTTCAAAATGTTACTAAGGGCTGGTGAGATACCTCAACAGATAAAGCACTTGCACAACATGGATGCACTTACATGTATGTAGGCAATACATTCATACACATAAAATAAAAAATAATAAATATTTTAGCAGGGTATGATGGCCCACACCATTAATCCCATCACTCAGGAGGCAGAGGCAGGTGGATCTCCGTGAGTGCAAGGCCAGCCTGGTCTCCCTAGTGAGTTCCAGGACAGCTGGGGCTACAGAGAGACCCTGTCTCAAAAAGACCAAAAATAAATAAATAAATAAAACAAATATTTTAAAAAGAAATAATGTTTGATCTTGCTTATAATTAGAAAGCAATTCCAAGTAATATAATACATTTTGCTTGGTGAGTTTGTAAAACCTTTTTTATTAATTATTTTTAAAGTAGAACAATGAGAAAGATACTGTGAGGTGGTCTAGATTTTGTTTGGGGAATATAATTTCACAGCCTTTTGGAAATCAATTTGGAAACTTATTCCAGAATCCTACAAAAATTTATTTACTATTGGTCTAGGTAGCTCCCTTGTGGGAACTGAGACTGTCTTATTCTATTGAGGCTGCGAAACAAAACACTATGGATCACCTGTCATAAAAACAAATTTATTTCTAACAGTTCTAAAAGCTGGACGTCTAAGATCAAAGAGTTTGGCAGATTCCTGTGTGCTGAAATCCTTCTTGATACAAATGACACCTTCTTACAATTTCCTTACACACATTTCATTCATGAGGGCTCCCCCCACATGATCTAAGTATTTTTCAAAACCCTACTTCCTAATACCATCGCCTTAAGGATTAGGATTTCAACATAAGAATGATTGTGTATGTGTGTGTGTGTGTGTGTGTGTGTGTGTGTGCTCACGCTTGTGCACACGTGCGCATGTGTGGTGTGTGTGTGTGTAAACATTCAGACTGTAGCAATTACTAATAAGACTCAAAATGTAGAAAATTATTACATGCAAAGATATTCATAATAGCAGAATGTTCATAAGTAAAAGAATGGTCCCATACAGTATAAAACAAATATCTGATGGGACCTCTGTACAGCCATTAAATATCAGTATTTAGAGAATAGTTAGAAACATGAATTGTTTGCTAAAAATGTGCACAATAACGTGAACAAAAAATGTAAAACTATGTAGAAAAAGTAAGTCAGCCGGGCGTGGTGGCACACGCCTTTAATCCCAGCACTTGGAAGGCAGAGGCAGGCTGGGATCTCTGTGAGTTCAAGGCCAGCCTGGTCTACATAATGAGTTCCAAGACAGTTGGGGCTACAGGGAGACCCTGTCTCAAAAAGCCCCCCCGCGCAAAAAAACAAAAAAACAACAACAAAAAAAAGTAAGTCAAAATGTAATTGTGATTTTCTATGTGATTTTTCTTTTCCCTCTAGTTTTCTGTTTTCCAAGTTGTTTATAATATGCATGTATTATTTTTTATAATAAACAATGAATAGACTGTATTTTAAGGAAATAAAAACAATGGCTAAAGACAAGTCATCACCAAACTGTTGAATGAGAAAAGTAGAAATGTGTTTGGAATGGGGATATAAGACAGAATACTAGGAACTTCCTGTTCTGGAAGGGATATAAGATGCAGAATACTAGGAACTTCCTGTTTGCGGAATGTGACAAACATTATCTCAGCACAAAGATTAATCTATAACCACAGCCCCCTGGGGGTAAATACTGTCATTCCCATGAGGAAAATGTGACAACTGAGGCACTAGTCATGTGCTTAGGGATTTGCCCAAGGGCCTGGAGCAAAGGAATCTTAGAGTTGAGGTTTGAATCCAGACCAGGGGGCCCCTGAGCTTTGGGCCACTTGGTGCTGTGGTCTGCAAAGCTCACATAAGAGAAACTCCCCAGCATGGAAGGTCTATGGTGAGAAAGCATTTTATCCTCTTTTGTCCCATTATCTCCCACCAGAGATTACTCTTTTCTAGTTCTCCCTTCTCCCTAAATTTCTGTTTTGCCAAACCTTCCCATGACTTCGCACCATCTCTGATGGAAGAGTGACATCTGCTGCATCTCAAAAGAATGCCTATTAAGCTTTTTGAGCAAGGGTAGCAGCACAAGCTTGTAATTTCAAAGCTGGGGAGGCAGAGACAGGCAGATCCCTGGGGCTTGCTGGCTAGTCAGACTAGCCTACAAAGTGAGTAGGTGACCAATGATTTATAAACCAATGAGAGACTCTATCTCAAAAAACAAAAACAAAAACAAAAAACCAAGGTGGAAGCTGGGGGCTCACTTGTTAAAACGCCTGCCTACCATATAAAATGGGCCTAGTGATGCCTACCTATAATCCTTCACTCAGCACTCAGAAGGTAGAAGCAGTAGGATCAGGGGTTCAAGGTCATCCTCAAGTTACATAGCAAGTTTGAGGCCAGCCTGGGCTACTCAAAGACCCTTTCTCAAAAACAGACGAAAACAAAGGAGAACAGCTCCTGAGGAATGCCACCCAAGGTTGACCTCTGGCCTCCACATGTACATGCACATATATCCACATGCACCCCCGCACATGCATGCACCCACATGAACATACACCCACATGAACATGCACACACATTCCAAAAATTGCACTTGCTTTTCAACTCCTGGAGGTTAGAATCTGTGCCTCCCTCACCTCGTTTTATACTCTCACAGCTATCGTAACACTTCACTCTTATAGGTACTAAGTTGGGTTCTATACAATGGATAAGGAGTTTATGCTGTTTTATATGGTACTTAATATACATTAAGCTAGGTCACCTGCCACAGATACTGTTTAAAACTAGCTCAACAGAGATATGTTTGTAAACTGTTGAACTGATTTGATAAAAAATAACTCATCAAAGTCATGGGTATAGATTTTATGGCCATTAGTAGTTTTGCATCTCAAAACTATTTTAATTTTTCAGTGCCAAGGATTCCTATATGCCTATGAGATATTCTACATTATATCACCCTTGTCCGTGGGCCAAAGAATTTCCTTTCCAGCTTCCGGAGGGCGGTGTTTCTTCACGCCCAGGATCAGGAATAAGTGAGAGTGATGTAGATCAGACCTTAAAAGGTATGCATTGTTCTACGTATGGTTCTATGAGTACATCCTATAATTCTGTTTCCCACTGTTCCCAATTCTTAGTAATTAAGTGACTGTTTTAAGCCAGAATCTCCCTGTGAAGTAGGTTGCTTTGTTTTGTGCCCCATTGTCATACATGAGAAACCAAGTTCAGAAAGGTTGTGAGTACACCCTTGGTCACTTAGCAACCTTAGAGCAGAGGCCACCTGCTTTCCAGGGGTCCCAGCAAAGGACACATGCTTTCTAGAGGGGTCTGTGGTGACACAGGCTCTATCTGGTGAAAGATGCTGTCCAGTCTCCTGTGTGGGAGTGGGTCTGAGGGTTGGCTGGATTCAGTGGCTCTAATATTGAAGGATCTGGCCCAGTGCCACCCCTTCATCCATTTTCCTGCTCTTTGCTCCCCAACACATACATGTGAATGTGTGTGTCCATGCAGAGATGGAGGGGCTATTGTATTTTCTCCCTGAGTCCTGTGGCCATGTTCCTGAGTAACAGTGTTTTTCATGAGCCATTCTTAGAGCTTCTTGTGGCTTCCCCTAGTTTACAGCACTGGGTGTGCTGCCATTGGCCATGTGAACCCTGTATTAGGTGACACAGATCACTCAGGAAGCCCCCAGACTAGTTAGAACAGGGTAAAATGAGCATGTTTTACTCTCTCTCTGATTCACAGAAAGGAACTGGAGACCTAATTATGCCCCTCTGAAGCCACGCTGAGGTCCGCTGGGGAGGTGGTGGAAACAGGGCAAATCAAACAACATCAAATTTCTTTCTATTTTGAATGTGACTTTTTCTTGATGAACACTCACTTGGTTGTGTGTGTGTGTGTGTGTGTGTGTGTGTGTGTGTGTGTGTGTGTCTATGAATGATGGTGAAAAGTGTGACGTGGAACATTGTTACAGAGGAGGTGACCAGGGTAGAAGAGCAGTATCACATTTGCACACTATGAAAACCTTCTAGGGGGCTGGAGAGATGACTCAGTGCACTTGCTGTTCTTCCAGAGGACACACATTCGGTTCCCAGCAACCATGTTGGGCAGCTCACTATTGCATGTAACTCCAGTTCCAGAGTATCTAACACCCTCTTCTGACTTCCTCAGACACCTCTACACATGTGGGCTACACACAGAGAGACATACACACATATAAAAATGAAAAGAAAGCTAAAACAAATAAGGGTGCTAGACAGAGAGCCCAACAGCTAAGAGCACTTGCTGCTTTTGTAGAATCAGTTTTTGGTTCCTGCCTGCTGCACCCAACTGGCAGCTCACAACCTTCTATAACTCCAATTTCAGGGGATCTGATGCCCTCTTTTGGCCTCCGCAGGCACTACACACATGTAATACATATATATGTATATGCAAAACACTCATACACATAAAATAAAAATGTTTAAAAATAAATAAAAATCTTAAAAAAAACATAACCCTGTGGTAGAACATTAGCATCACATATATGAGGCCCTAAGATCAGTCCCCAGTGCTGCAGCTCACCTGCTACAAGTTTCTGGTCACTGGGTAAGTTTACATAGCCTAATCCTTGTCCAACTATGTGCTCGATGAATCTGACTTCCTACCTCATCTTCTTAGATGTATTTATTGCTTATAGCTTGTCATGAATGAATTCTAAACTAACTCTGGTACTTATATCATGCAATACTTATTTTCTTTGTTTAGGGATTGACCATATGTACTATCTTCTTTCTTAATGTTTTACAGCACTACCTATACAATCACCTTCACTGGAAAAAACCCAACACAGAAGACACTCGCTTACAATAAGTTGCCCTGGTTCCAACACCAAACCCACCCTTCCTCCAATCCCACATGGCCACAGGTAGACCAGCACCTTGACCTCGAATCTTTACAACCAAACAGATTGGTGCCTTGACATCTGATCTTAAATATGACAGAAGAAACTTGTTCTGATGAAGTCCAGTCCTTTGTCTTACCTTGCCATGGGCCTCAGCTCTTTCTCACTGAACTAATTCTGAAGGTTCTGCCCTAGTTCTCTTAATCAACCTTCTATTGTGATTCTCTGAAGAGCAGCTTTTATTATTTTTTTCTTAACTTTGAAGAATGACATTTGTGAGGTTTCCCCATATTACAAATGATTTTTTTTCTAGCGGCTTGCTGCTCTAAGCTATCAGAAATCAAAATATCTCAATACTTTTCATTTTATGTGCAGAGTGATCTTTAGATATGTCTAACTGGGATTGTGTGGTTTAAGTTTCAGGACTGTTACTATATACTGAGGACTATTAAATTATTTTATTCTAATTATGAAAACATGGTGGAGCTCCATTTAACTTGTGGCCAACATGGCATCAACTGCATCTCTTAAAGAGAATTAATGAATGTAATTTGGGGGAACGCTTGACTGGCTTTAGTACCATGAATGAATAAAGAATATCACTAATTCTTTTATTTCACTGTTTCTAAACTAATTATATGCTGCTTGTAATTGGAAATATTTTAAAACAACTTTCATTGTCTTTGTGATGACTCCATGTTTTTAGCAGAAAGAAAACATATTGAGCATTTATAGACAAAGCTGGTATTTGGCTAATACATACCAGTAAGGCTATCCTGGTTGTGAAGACATTGACACACATCCTTCTGGATTGGTAAATGGTCTCTTTTGCATGTATGGTGACCAGTGGGAACGAGAACCTGTGCATAGTACTGCACTAACTGTTGAATATTTTAATTTTCTGAACTTTCTAATAACTTCCCTCATTTAAAATACTTAAAATAGAACATGATCTTCTACTGGCCCTTTTCTTCCACCCAGAATACTCTTAAACTAGAGCTGATTAAAGTCTGTATTAGTCAGCCATCTGTCACTGTGATAAAATGCCCGAGACTAACAGCTCAGAGAAGGAAGAATTTATTTTGGTTTCTGACTTGGATCATCTGGCTCCATTGTTTTGAGCCTCAAGCAAGGCAGAATATAATGATTGTAGGAGGCTGGGGCCGAGACCGTTTACTTCAGAGTCACCAGCAAGCAGAGAGATGAAGGAGGAAGGGTGTAGGGATGAGGACCCACTTCCTTCCATCTGCTAGGTTTCTACCACTTCCTAATAGTCCATCAAATTATTAATCCATCAACGGATTATCCCATTGATGTGGCTGGAGCCCTGAGAAGTCTTGTGGAGAGCCATTTTTTCATCACTGACCTTTCTATCCAGTGATGGCAGCAGCATGTGGGAAGCAATAAGGAGATGCGCCTTATCTCTTTCAGGATGATATTGAGAAACATGAGGGGGATCCACTTGTCTCTTGGGTTCTGGGAAGGTATAAAGCTTTCTCAAAACCACTGTCAGTATTCATGATAAGCTCTGTAAGTTCTTCTTGTAAGCACTGCTGATGTTCATCTTCAAAGATGCTGGGGAAATGTGACTCCCCTACTGCCTCCCTTACTATGCTGACTGCCTTATGCGGAAGGATGGTCTGTCACATAACCATCCAGACTGCCTTTGTGCTGCACCAGCTGTTTCGAACACTTCACAGATGCCACAAGGAAACCACACAATGCTCACAGCTGCTTGTTCCAATTCCTACAGATGTTTCCTCAGTCATCCCTGTTTCAAACAATTTACCAGATTTTTGGCTATCACAAGCCTGGGTGAACTTTAGGTGACATTATAATCATATTCACCCTGGCCAAAGGGAGAGTACTTCTGTCTGAGAGCATCAATCCATTCTGGAGGGCACAGGCTTCTCCACCACATCACCTGTCACTGGGCTCCACTTCCCAGCACTTCTGCATTGGCAATAAAGTCTGCAGCGTGTCCAAACATAGCACATGGTAAGTATGAAGACCTCAAGTCACAAGCTCAAACCCTAAAGTGAAAAAAACTCCATTTTATTCCCTAGTCCATCCAGGACACTTGCAACCCATTTGGTCTCCCCTTTTCTTACTTTTCATCTTGGATGGAATCCAATTTCTAGGAAGTCACAGAAGTTTGAAGCTTTGGGAGGAGGCATCTGGCTCTGTAAGAACTCCATCTTGGAGATCTTGGAGAACTCCATCTTCCTGTTTGCCAGGGCCTCCGCCCACAGCCCTGACCTCACCCTATCATTCTCACCACTCCAGGTATATCCTATCAAGTTTTAAAAAAAATTAACTTTAGTTCTCTTCATAAAAGTACATAATAGTTGGGCATGGTGGTACACACCTTTAATCCCAGCACTTAGGAAGCTGAGGCAGGTGGCTCTCTGTGAGTTCAAGGCCAGCCTGGTCTACATAGCGAGTTCCAGTCCAGCTGGGGCTATAGGGAGACCCTGTCTCAAAGACCAAAAAAAAAGTACATAATAAACCAGCTGCTCCCTGAGCCAGTGGTGATCTGAGTCTTTCCCTTGATACTCACAGAGTCACCTTTCCTTGTCTAGTTCCCACCATATAGATGTAGTGGTTAGTAGGTAGAGCTGTTGATGGGAAGCCAGGATGTGAATGTCCTATTCTCCTAGTCCCGCACTCAAATGAAATGTCTCTCATACTCTAAAGCTGTGCCTCTGGCATTGTGGTGCTCAACCTGGTCTGCATATCACATTTTCCATTAGATGAAAAACACCAATGCCCAAACTCTATCTCAAGCCAATTAAATACAGGTGTCTGGGGATGGAGGGTCAGGAATCTTGTTTGTTAGGTCTCCAGAGTGATTCTAATGTGTAGCTGGGTCTGAGAGTCACTTCTCCTGAGGGTTAAGTGGGAGCTTTCTAGAATGATTTGGTCACCATCTTAAATTTCTTTTTTTAAATTCTGCTTTCAGCAGTTTATGAGCAGGCATCTCCCCATGCCCTTATTAGCAAAAAATATATGATTAGTAAAATTATTTTAAAATATTTATTTTTTAATTTTGGTCTTTTTGAGACAGGGTCTCCCTGTAGCCCCTGCTGGCTTGGAACTCACAGAGATCCACCTGTTTTGGGCGCCTGGCTTTATTTTTATGTGTATGAGTGTATTGCCTGCATGTATGAAAGTGCACCTGTGTCATACAATGCCCACAGAGGTCAGAAAAAAGCCTCAGATCCCCTGGCACTGGTGTTATGGAGGGTTGTCAGCCACCATGTGGATGCTGGGAACGGAACCTGGGTCTTCTGCAAGAACAGCCAGTGCTCTTAATTGCTGAGCCATCTCTCCAACCCTGTTTAATATAATTATTTTATCATTACTGTTATCTTACTGAGCAGGCTTACTGTTTTTATAAACATGTTTATTGGTTTTTCCTTTTTTGTTGAACCATTGGTTCATATCCTTATTATCTGAGGGTGTTAGTGTTTTCTTTTGCATTTTAGGGGAAGCTAGTCTAATAAATATTTCCTATGTAGTCTTTATTTATTGTACACATCCATCCCAATTGATTATTGGGCTATATTTAACTTAAATAGGCTTTTAAATCTATATTTTTTATGTGGGGTCTGCTTTTGTGTGTTAACGAATGCTGTTTTCTGAAACAATGCCTAGTGTCCAAGAAAGCTTTCTGTGGTGATGGGAATGTATCGAATAGCTACAATATTTAGTATGATAGCCATTTGCTTTGAGGGACTGTTGGGTACTTGAATACAGCAAGTGTGACTGAGGAGCCGAACTTTTCATTTTAATCATTTTAAATATAAATAACCACTTGTGATTGGTGCCTATCATATTGGAAAGTGTAACACTAGAGGGTTTATTTATTATCATGGTTCTGTTCTTTTGGACCCTACAGTTACAATCAGATATTTCTTTGTAGATTATAATGAGTAAATTAAATTATGGCTTATATAGTTTTTTATATTTTATAAGCTATCAAATTTTTTTTGAAAGCAGCAAGATAAAGTTTTATTATGGCCAACTGGGCTATGTTGGGAATAGAAGCAGCCTCGAACACCAGTCAGCCAGAATATTTATGGGAATACAGAAAGCAGAACAAGTGGGCCAATCAGGTTTATATAACACAGCAAAATATGAACATAGCAAACTTTGAATTTACCAATCAACTATTGGTTATTGTACGGTCCTGGGCTTGGGAAGCAGGTTTACAGAAGTGAGATAAGCAGTTAGTCAACTGCCAGCCTAGATTATAGGTAAGTGAAGCAGGTTTAAATAAGCGGCCTAGATTACAATACCCCGTGGCATGCAGTCAGACCATTTCTAGGAATTCAAAGTTGCTTCTTCCTTCTAGGTATCTTTCATAAGTAGGGTAAATAGCACTTCTCCTGAAATGGCTGCTTTGGGCAAAATGGAGTAACTTAGGCTAGGTTAGTTTAGCTGAGATATTTCACTAATGCCCTCTTCTGACCTCCAAGGACACCATCACTCACATGCACATACCCATACACTAATATACACACATACACATAATTAAATATAAAACATAGGTCTTTTTATAAAGAAAATGATACAAGAAAAATCCCCAGAACTTAAATATTCATCATAAAGGTCCTACACAGAAAGCAGAGCAGAAATATACTTAAAAGACAAATCATCATTATCTCTGAAGATAAATGCATATTATCATAGAACTTGGAAGAAAATAAAAATCAAAATGTAGAGGCCAAGAAGAACCACAGCTTCTAAAGTACACGTATAAATAAGCTATCAATTTTTATGTGTCATGTTAAAGTTTTGAAAAATCATACATGAAATTGAAAGGAAAACCTAAGATAATAAAATTTTATTACGTCTGTTAATTTTTATTAATTATATTATTTAAACTACCTAGGTGCATCCTTTATTTTGTGAATTTGCCCTAGAATACCTGCTGATAGTATTTCAGTATAATTGTGGTTTTTTTCTTCTATATAAAATGGTTTTTGTTATATAAGTTTTGATGTTAATCAGGACTATTATCACAGGTTCATAGATTTCATTTTGTTTCAATATAAAAGGGTCCTTTTGTTCTTTATTTTATTGAATGGTTTTGCTTTGAACTTCCCTTTGAAAATGTCAGTACCACCTGTGATTATTTTTCTTTGCTTTAAACATGTCTCCTTTTAATGTAATTCTTTGTATGTCATTTAATTTCAGCCTGACTGTTTTTCTTCTTTAACCAAATCTGAGTCTGCCTTTTACTTCAGTTATGGAACAAAACTTTTTATTCATTTGTACAAACCCAGTCCTATTTCTTTCATTTTGTTTTACGTTTGGGGGTGGGTTTGAGATTATTGAAGCTGTGTTTTGTTGGCGGTGGTTTGTTTGGTTGGTTTTTCTATTTCACCGATTGGTTTGTCTTTTGCTGTAAATGTTGTTCATTTGCAGTAATTTAAAAGGTGTATTTTCTCTACTGTGACATGGCATACATCATGTAAATTAAAATGTTTTTATTTCTTCTTTAAGAATTACAGTTTCTGTTTGCTGTGGTGGTGCATGCCTATAA